ACGGTAGCATTACCTTCAGTACCACAGCAATCAGGCAAATGGCAAAGTATCTTAGGGAGCAATCCTATGTACGTTTAGACAGAAAAAATTTCTACAACTCCCAGCTGGGAGATGTAGAACTTCTCCCTACAAAACATGCACAGAATCATGTCTAACTTCTATTTATAGGTCTTCTAAATATATCTTCTAAAATCATGTATTTATAGAATTTTGGATGGCATGGTAGAAATAAGACCCTTGTTATCCTTCACATTTATGAAATCAGCTTTGTAAATCTCAGCCTAAGTGAAATAAATGTAATGAGCATACACCATGTAGCAGTTTGTGCTTTTGCCACAGATTATTAAACTGGAATACCTGTGAAGACTGTCAGTAGGGATTACAAATTGAAATTTAAAATGTTGGCAATACAGAACACTGCAAACTACAGCATAAAAGGATGGAATAAATTATGAGCTGAAAATAATTTATTTAATAATGCAGTTAGCATTATTGTAACGAAAAATAGGGAAACAGCAAGAAGACACTTTGCAGTTAGACAAATGGAAGCAGTGATCCTAAAATTTAAAAATGGCTAGTTACATGGCACACTGGGCAGGTCTGTACAATAAAATGAACCAAATCTGACATTTTTAAAGCACTGGGTTGTTGTGAATGAAGTGTGTTAGAGAGCATACTGGCTCCTACTGCTTCATTGCTCTTGCAGGGCCTGAACAGTTGAGGAAACTGGGTTTAGCAGAACATTTGAGTTGGGACCTCTGGGTTGTTGCAGGAGAAACAACCTGGAGTTGGGGCCTGTGGGATATTCAGCCTCAGGTGTTCAGCAGGTGTCAATACATTCAGTTGCATCCACTACAGTGCAGGACCCTTGTGGTGATACCCAAAGATGGCCAGTTTGTTTTATCTGCAGTCTTTGTTGTTGTTCGGTTTTTATTGCATTGATTTTACAATATGCAAAAGTCTAGGGCTGAAGGGCTTTATATAAATGCATGCATGCCCTAATAAATGAATAAACAGAATCAGCTCTTTAGGGAGGTCCCCCTGGCGCCTACCCTTTATGCATTTCGGCACCAGGTTAAAACTTTTTTATTTGCCCATTATTTTATTTGCTGAATAGAAGACTCTGATTTCCCAGTGGTTTTATCATATGATGATTGCTTTGCTGTGGATCTGTTGTTCTGTAGAATTATTATTATTTACTTGGAGCACTGTGGTTTATTATGGTTGAATTTTTATGATTGTTATGTTTTGTTCTTATGTTTTATGTTTTAATCACAGTACACCATTCTGAGAGTGTCTACTAAACTACAGTTTATAGAAAGTTTAAATTAAATAAGTAAACCAAGGTTTTCTTTACACAAACAGAGAAATCTGTGTGGCTGTGTGGGCAGTGAAACCTCCTACTCTTCAGATGTCTTTTCCCATGAAAAATGAGGCAGACCCACATGCAAGTACCTGACACATCTAGTGGCCCCTCAGATGAAATGGGAAAGGGAAATTACGGGATACTCTAACCCGAAATCAAGACTAGACAGAATGGACAGGTAGAAAAGACTCTAGTCAGGTGTAGAGCAATAAAGAGTCCAGAACCAGAACTGACTTGGAATGCCAACAGAAGACAGGTCTGCCCTTCTACAGCATCTCAACATTGTATGTTCTTCGTATCTAAATGAGGAAAATTGAAATTTGCTGTATTAGCACTGCAACCCTATGCATGTTTACTCAGAATTCCCACTGTGTTCAATGGTACTTACTCTCAGGTGAGCATACACAGGATTGTAGTCTAAATGTTTCAACAGTAATTTTTCAAATACAAGATTGGATCAGAATCTGGGATGCTGTGATACAGATTAATCGACAGAAAAAAAGAACTTATTTATTTTTGGATTTATATCCTGCCTTTTTCCTACAAAAGGCTCAAGGCAGCTTACATCTCCTCCTCCATCTTATCCCCACAACCCTGTGAAGTAGGTTGGGCTGAGCGTCTGTGACTGGCCCAAAGCCACACAGTTGGCTCCATGGCTGAGTGGGGACTAGAACCCAGATCGTCTGAGTCCCAGTCCCAGGCTCTTAACCACTACACCACACTGGCTCTCAAATATTACATCAAAATAATATTAATGTCCCAAAAACAAATGCCAACAAAATGCTTAGAAAACTGCAAACTGGGCACCCTTTCACATATACTTTGCAGAAAAAATGTGCATATTGATGTTATTTATTTAACTTCTATATTGCCCAATAGCTGAAGCTCTCTTATAACTGATCATTATAAGAACAATTTATCTTTAAGGAATAGTGCCTAATTTAATTTTCTCCTCTCACCTCCCTATCTTTTTTTCTTTTGTGCCATCCTATTTAGATTCAAAAGCTGCAGGCAAGGACTGTCTTATTTTTCTTGACTGTATGCACTGTACCTGAAATGCTTTAAACAAATGAATAGATTCAACTTTAAAGGGAAACTCATGGGCTAGGGCTATATAATCGAAGCACCAGGCCCTGTAAATGAATCGCCAGAGCTTCTTGTTAAGTGCTAACATCTACTGCTGCCATAGGTACTTTGATACTGCACAAAGAAACATCTGCAGAAAAGGAGGTTCTTTTGAATAGCATTTGCTATTAGAAGGCATTATGTGGCTATCTTCCTTAGTAGTCTTCCCATGCTAACAGAAAAGATGGAAGAAGCAGTAGGGAAACACATGAAGCATATATCATCATCTAGACTACCTGCAAAATTCCAAGATTGCAGGGTGATGGTATGATTAAAAAAAAACTCATCTGCAAACATGTGATATCCTTATAGCCAAACAGAGCAGCTTCGTAAGCAACTGGCATGGAAGAACTGATTCACTAGGAGATATTATCCAGCAAGCAAAAGAAGATATCCTAATTTGCTGAGGAGGTGGCACTGGAAGTAAGGAAGTAAAGGAGCATCTCAGTTTTGGCTATTAGTGAACCTCTGACCACGTCTCCTTACAAAACATATTTTTTAAAAACTTGGAAGTAAAGCCTAACAGCTTCACTACTAAGCTTCACTACTAAGTTACAGAAGCACAGACCACCACACTTAACAAGAGATATTAAAACTGAATTGTGATGGAGCACTTACTACAAGGCACCAGAGACTAATAAGCTGTGCATTGTTCATCGATTGCTATTTAATATTTACTTGGAGATGGGAGAGAGACGGAAGCATAAAGACATAGAAGAACCCTTGAAATGCTGAATTTTAAGCAAATTCCATCTTAAGATTTGTCTCTGCTATCACATTTTAAAAACATCTTTAGGAGTCTAGTAAATGTACACACTGGTAGACCTATTTAAAGAATCCAGCATGTACTAATTACATTTGTAATAAACAAACGATCTCACTTTACCTACAAGAAAAGGAGAAACCAAGGAATGTCCAAATCACAAGCATCAAGCAAGGAAGGAATCAATGTCCTTTAGTTCCTTGGTCATCTAGTTTGCTAATATTAATACTACCTCATTTATCTACTCCAATGGAATCTGAGTGTTCTTAATCAAACACTAATTTATTCATGTGCCTCACTTTCTGCAGAAGCTTTTGATGCAAATCTCTTTCCTAAAGTATACCATTTTATAAAAGGAAAAAGTAATTCTAGCAGAAGCTAAAAGTATTCCAATATTTTATTTTCAGAACTTGCGGGGGGGGGGGGGAACTGAACTATTAAAAACAAGAGAAAACAAGCTATTTTAAAGGGTTATGAGATAGCATATAATATTAGAGTAACATCAAATAATTTGACAGAAGCCCAGCGTATTCAAGAATAGGAGAAAGGGGTTTTAGTATTGCTTTAGCTAACTATATCAGGAAAATTCCCACGGAAGCCAAGGACTGGGAACCTGCATGAGATAAGGGTGGGAATCAGAATGGCTGAAGAAAGGAGTACAGTGTGGTTGTGGAGAACTCACATAGTGCCTAGAATTATGAAGGGCAGCATGCTCTTGGTAGGAGAGGAGGGACAATCTCTGGAGACTATGAGCAAAAAGGTGACCACAAGATAGAAAGGCTGCATTCCAATTCTAAACATTCCAATACTTGGCTACAGGTTTTTAGGTGTATTATACAGCACCTGCTTTCAGGTTAGCTCAGTCATAGGCTAATAATATCACAAGTTGGAACAAAGCAATTCTTGTAAGAGTCAAGTTGATGAGTTTATACATTTCACTCCTTACCATCCCTGCAATTTTATACAGTTAGAAAAAATTGTTAACCAACCACTGTCAGCTAGTGAATTTTAGGCCCAGTTTGCTCATCATGACTACTAAAAGTTCATTGGTAGCTGTGAATAAGTGGGAACAAATGAACACACTAGGTTCCTGCTGGCTGCTTCTTCCAACTGGGGTAAATAGTCAAGGGATGGTTTGTCACTGGGTTTTCTTTGCGATGCCCAACCCCAGAATTGTGGGTACTCACAGGAGGAACACCCCACAAATGTAACCCAAGAACAAACCATGTTGTAACATGTGAACTGGGCCTTATGGAACATTAGTTGGCTCCATGCCTAGAATCTGATGATATATTCAAGGTATAGCAAAATAACATGAGAATGATTTTCTTATTGTTTGTTTCAAGTAACTCCCCTACTTAACATCCCTCTTTTCAGAGACTTTCAAGGTATCTTAATTTTTCCCAACAGGATACCATTTGCTTATTGTTATGTAACAACTTCTAAATGAGCATGTGCATTTTCAAAAGTACACATTCTTTACAGAACTCCTAAGGACATTAACTCTTCAAATATTGGAACCATTCTAGAAACACCATGGAATGGTGTTCACCTGAAGAATTCATTCTAATACTTGCAAAGGGGAGCCAAGTTACTATGTTGCAGGGAGAAAAAAAGGAGTTTGGTAGCACCTCAAAAAGTAACCAATTTATTATACTACAATAAATTTGTCAGCATTTCAGAACTACAAGAATCTTAATACTACCAAGAAAGAATCCCTAAAGATTTCTCCAATCCGGTTTAAAGCGTACCTGTTGCTTTTAAGCTCTTTACTGCAAATGAATCTATCTCTACTGATTTTGGTCTGCATGGTAACTGCTCAGAATCTAACTTTGGTTTTGCTGTGGGCTCATTTTCCGCTTTCAGTCGATGAGACACAACTTCCCCATTTGTCCTGCATTCAAAAGAGAAAATGATTTATATTAAAAAGAAAAGAATACAGTAAAAAGAAACCTATGCTTTAAATTATTCCATGTACAAAATTATATAAAAATGAGATCCAGTTCAGATAGCATGGAATGTAACCTTGATGAGCAGGTTTAAGAACATAGAAACAGAGCGAGTCAGAAGGGGCCTCCTGGGCCATCTAGTCTGATCCCCGGCTCCAGCCGGTTCCGCTCACGACATGCCCACCATGTGCATGTCCAGCCTATCTTTGAACACCCTCACTGATGGGGCCTCAACCACCTCCTGTGGAAGCCCAATCCATACCCTCGGGGTCCTAACCGTCAGGAAGTACTTCCGGGCATCTAAACTGAACCTTTGTTCCTTGAGTTTTGCTCCACCGGAGCGCATCCTGCCTTCCTCTGCAGGGGAGAACAGGTCTGTACCCATCTCTGTGTGACACCCCCTCACATACCTGTATGTCGCCAACAGATCCCCTCTGAGTCTCCTCTTCTCCAGGCTGAAGAGACCCAGTTCCCTCAGTCTCACCTCATACGGCATATCCTGCAAACCGGCCACCAACCTTGTGGCCCTACACTGCACTGACACTAACCTGGATATATCCCTCCTGTAATGGGAGGCCCAAAGCTGAACACAATACTCCAGTTGTGGGCGCAGAAGAGTTGTATAAAGTGGTAGTAATATGTCTCTCGATCTAGAAGCCACACTTCTGACTATGCAACCTGATCACCCCTTCTTCCATGTCATTGATGAAAAGATTAAACAGGATTGGCCCCAGAACAGAGCCCTGGGTGACCCCACTTGTCACTGGCCACTATCTCAATGATTCCTCTGCTTTCGGTCAGTCAACCATGCCCTAAATCATCAGACAGTGCATTGGTCTATCCCAAAACTGCTCAATTTCTCAACCAGGGTATCATCGTGCACTTTGTCAAAGGCCTTGCTGAAATCCAGGTAAACCACATCCACTGCATCCCCTCCGTCTAGCCACCTCGAAACCTTGTCATAGAATTCCACAAGGTTTGTGGCAGGACCTGTTATTGCAGAAACTGTGTTGTGTGGCCCCCAGCCTCCCTTCCCTATCTAGCATCACTTAATCTGTCACTATTATGAGCCTTTCCATTGTTTTTCTTACAATGGACATAAAGCTAACTGGTCCGTAATTCCCTATGTCCCTTCTACTACCCTTTTTCAAAATTGGGACCATTGATGCCACCCTCCAGTCCTCTTTAACTTCACCCATTCTCCACAAGGCCTCAAAAATGGAGGCCAGCAGGCGTGAGAGAACCCCTGCCAACTCTCTAAGTACTCTTGGGTGTAACCTGTCAGGGCCTGGCGCCTTTGTAATGTCCAATGCCCTGAGGAGCTCCTTGACTTCTAGGGCGGTGACTCTAATCTGTGCCCCTAACTCCCCAGCCTCATCTAATCTCCTATGCAAATCTTCCCCATCCTGCTTTGGGGAGAACACAGAGGCAAAATAGTCATTTAGCATCTGTGCCTGTTCCCTCATCCTGTTCTACTGGATCTCCTTCCTCCTTATTTAGTGGTCCCCCTACTTATCTTCCCTTCCTCTTGCTATTTACATGCTGATAAAAGTCCTTTTTGTTGCTCTTGATATTCTTTGGAAGTCTCAGCTCGTAATCAACCTTAGCCATGCAAAGAATCCTTCTGCAAGGGGCCTCCTCCCCCCGGTATACCCTTTTGTCTATTTGCCCCAGTACCCATTTCCTACGGAGGTTCCTCTTGCATCTAATCCCTCTAACCACCTCCTTTCGCATCCATGGCGGCACTCTCCTTCGTCTCCCCACCTTACTAACTAGAGGTATTGTCAAGGCTTGCGCCTCCAAAACCTCCCTTTTGAGTGCCATCCACCCCTCCTCAACTCCCTTGCCTTCCAGTAACCTATCCCACGAGACTTTCCCCGGTCTGGCCTTAAGTAGGCCAAAGTTGGCCCTCTTGAAGTCCCAGCTTCTAGTGCTCGACTTGCGGCACGTCCCCATTCCCGATTTCAAAGCAAGGGATGGAGTGATCACTCGCATCCAGAGCGCCCCTAATCTGTACTTCATCTATCAGCTCCTCTGTATTGGTCAAGACCAAGTCAAGGATGTTCCCCCCTCCCCCCGTCATCGCTTCTCGGACCCTCTGTGCAAAAAACCCTCCCTCTATAGCTTCTATGAAGTGATGTGACCAGACTGTCACTGCTGAGTGATTCTCCCAACTAATATCCGGGAGGTTGAAATCTCCCATAATTACTGTGTCTCTCCCCCAAGATATCCTTAGAATCTGGTCTGTCAGGACATCATCCAGGGTCTCAAGTTGACCTGGAGGGCGATAACAGCCCCCCACTGTCTGGTCCCTTTCCCTGTCAAAACCCCTAAGTTTCACCCACACTGCCTCTACCGAATCCCCCTCTGTGCTGCATTCTATCTCACTGCATCCTATCCCTTCCCTGACATATAAAGTCACTCCCCCATCCCTCTTTCCCTTCCTGTCCTTTCTAAAAAGGTGATACCCCTCCATTTTTACATTCCAGATTTGCCTTTCATCCCACCAAGTTTTAGTGATCCCCACCAGGTCATACCCTCCTATTCCTAGGAGAGCAGGCAGCCAGCTGTGAAAGATAAAGAGTAAGACTGAGAATCTGCAACACACTCTCAAACTTCAAAACCATGGTCTGGAGATGCAGATTTGTAAAGCGTGAACAGGGCTGTAGTCTACTGATACACATAAAAGTATGAACAATTATAAACTCTGTACCTTAGCTAACAGAACCCTGCTTGCACATGAAAGGGTTCCATGTGCAAACTTAGCAGCCTTATGGTGTTGTAATGTGCAGACTGTAGGAAAGGAACCCAACAGTGTAACACATAAGAAAAATAAATACTTGCTTAGGTACTGGTTTATCTGGCCATTTCGGATGCAAATTTCCAGCTCTCAATATGCTATTAGCCTTGTTTGGTGGGACAGGTTTTTTGGGTGGTACTTGAGGGGCCACTGGCTTAGAAGTCTTCTGATCCAACACTGCTTTGTCATCTGAGAAATAAAACACAGAAGTATTTATATTATTTGGATGACTGAGTAAGAGTTCTTAAAACTACAATTAAAAGGAAAAAAGTTATGAAGGATCAGCTTAATGGTGCACGTAGTCAGCATTCAGTCTGGATCAGGGGTCCTCAAACTTTCCCACCAGGAGGTCAGTTAAAAGCTGTTGGTGCTGGGCGTGGTGCTGGCGGTGTGTGCAGGCTGGCGTGGGGGCGGCGCATGTGGGTGCACATGCTGAGGTGGGGACAGGGCACCCAGCGAGGCAAGGTGGGGTGAGGGCAGGCGCGCCCTGCGAGGGGAGGGGAGGGGAGGCGCGGGTGGGGCGGGCATGCGCCACAAGGCAGGTGCACGAGGCAGCGGCTTGCTTGCTTGGAGATCGTTTTCTTCAAGTATACCGCTGCCCCCCGCACACAGAGCAAGGTGGGAGGCAGCGGGTGCGCATGTAGGCGCAGGCGCACGTGGGGTGGTCCAAATGGGCATGGCAGGTCAGATCCGGCCCCCGGGCCATACCCATGGTCTGGGTTTGAGGACCCATGGTCTGGATGGTAGCAAACCAGCTGCTTGTGGGACCTCCCCCACAAGCAGGATAGGAGTGCAGCAGAAAGTGCTGCTGCATAAATTCTGCCAAACTCTGCAAAAACTGGCATATGAAGGCAAACTCTTATACCAGGTGGTGTACAGTCACCAGGACTCCTAGCCACTAATACCCTTTTCATCCACAAATTTGTCCAATACACTTTTAAAGCCGTCCAGACAGGTGGCAATCACGACTTCTGATGGAAGTGAATCCCACAGTTTCACTCTGCACTGTGTGGAGAACTGCTTTCTTTTATCTGCCTGCAGCTCCCACCAATCAGCTTCATTGAATGCCCCTGGAGAGGGAAAAAATGTCTCCCTCTCCACCTTCTGCACACCATGCATGATTTTGAACACCTCTATCATGTCTCTTGCCTTTTTTAAAAGCTGAACAATCTCAGCAGCTGTAATAGTTCCTCACATGGGAGTTGCTTTAACCCCTTGATCATTTTAGTTCTCCCCTTCTGCGCTATTTCTTATATCCCATCATTTTTTCCTAGCAAAGCATTCAGAGCAGCATACATAATTCTCCTCCTCTCAATCTTATCCTCAGAACAACAGCCCTGTGAGGTACATTGGGCTGAGAGTCTGACTGGCTCAGTATTGCCCACTGAGTTCCATGGTTGAGCAGGGATTAGAATCCAAATCTTCTGGGTCCTAGTCCTGTACTCTTTACTCTACCACAATGGCTCTTTTTCTAACTCAATAATGTCCTTTTTCAAGTTTGGATCTAGAAAAGCAGGTTGCTTACCTGTAACTGATGTTCTTCAAGTGGCCATCTGTGCATTCACACATATGGGTGCTGCGCCTGCACAGTGCCGATGGCCAAAGATTGAAAGCTAATGGTTTTTGGCAGGAAACTCCCCTCCCCTCCCCATCAACAGTATATATAGAGCGGAGTGTCCACCATTTTACTCAGTCTTTGAAGACCGGATGTTCGCCCCCCCGTGGGAGAGAAATACATCACAGTAAGAATCATCGGTACCGTAAAATATCAAGATATGGTACCGATGAGGAAGTCCACTCACCAACACCAAGCAGGGCTGGCGGGTGGGTTGTGTGAATGCACAGATGGCCACTGGAAGAACATCAGTTATAGGTAAGCAACCTGCTTTTCTTCGTCGTGGCCTCTGTGCATCACACATATGGGTGACTAACAAGCTTACCAAATACAGAGGAGAAAGGTGTCGTCACCGAAGAATAGTGGAAAGAACAGCTCTACCGAAAGAGCCGTCTTGTCTGGCACATACATCCAGCTGGTAATGTCTTGCGAAAGTGCATGGAGCAGCCCAGGTTGCAGCCTTACAGACATCTTGAATAGGAATTCCCACAGGAAAGGAAGAAGCAGCAGCCACTGCTCTTGCGGAATGACCTTTCGGAACAACAGGTAAGTCTATGCTGGCAAGCTGATATGCCAGTAAAATAGTCTGAACTATCCACTTAGACAGCCTTTGAGCTGTAAAAGGAGAGCCCCTATCTCGTTCCGAATATTTAACAAAGAGTCTATTGGAGTGTCGAACAGATTCAGTCCGTGATCTATAGAAAGCTAAACATTGTCTCACATCAAGAGTATGTGAGATGGGAAGAAAGCTGGCAATACAATCTCCTGATTCAAATGGAACGGCATAGCAACTTTAGGCAGGAATGATGGATCCATATGAAGAACAACCTTCTCCTTATGAAAATTCAAATAAGGAGGGTCCACTCTAAGGGCACACAGCTCACTGGCTCTTTGAGCTGTAGTGATCACAACAAGAAAGGCTGTCTTCCATGAAACAAGGCATAAGTCTATAGTTGCCAGAGGTTCAAATGCATCTCTGGTAAGAGCCTGAAGCACCACCGAGAGACTTCAAGTGGTCATGACTGGTCGAATGGAAGGAGATTCTGAAGTCCTTTAAGAAATCCTTTAATGAGTGGTTGCGAGAAAATCGATGACCCTTGTATTTCCCCACGGTAGTAGGAAATGGCAGCCGCATAAACTATTATAGATGATGGCTTAAGTCCCGAATGGTGAAGTTCAAGTAGAAATCGAAGGATATCCTCTAAGGATGCAGTATTCTGAGCGAATGAGTGAGATTTGGCAAAGGACGAGAACCGACGCCACTTCACTGCATAAGATCTTCGCGTGGATGGTCGTAGCGCAGACTCAAGAATCCTTTGAATATCTGGATGGAGAACTACTGATGTCGAAGATGAGTCCATCGGACCCGAGAAAGCAGACCGGATGTCAGTCCCGTCAGTGTGATTCCCAGAAAGTCAAGATGGTGTCGATACTAAGTTGGAATCGATGTTCATCGGATTCACCAGGCTGTAAGATTCAACGTTGATACGTCCGGATGGCACACAGTCCCTTCTTGTTGCGTTATCAAATACAGGACGGAAGGAAGATCCTGAAAAGTATTGTGAGATACGCAGAGAAGAGTGTGGAACCACCATGGGGTTATCAGCACTCCTGTGGCCTTGTTGTGAACAACTTTCGAGACCACTTTCGTTATGAGTGGGAATGGGGGATAAGCGTAAAATTTGATCTTGTTCCATGAGATCATAAATGCATCCCCTATTGATTCCGGTCCAATACCCACTCTGGAGCAAAAGTTCTTGCATACCCTGTTCTGATGGGTGGCAAACAAGTCTATATCTGGATGTCCCCAACGAAGAAAAAGCTGGGCTCAGATTTGTCGATCGAGTTCCCATTCGTGGGATGTAGACATCTACGTCCACGTTGTCTGTACAGGCTAGATGGACAGCTAGAAGGGTTATTTCCCTCGTGATACACCAGTCCCAGATTTGCATCGATAGCTGCGCCAAGGTGACTGACTTATATGCTTCCTCACTTCCCGTTGGTCCCAAGCTACTTGCCTTCAAAGATTCGAACACAGAGCTCCCCAACCGATCAGCAATGCGTCGGTGCAAATAGTGATAGTAGGTTGCGGAGGTTGGAACAGAACCCGTGCTCAAATTGGCTGGAACTGTCCACCATATCAGGGAATGCAGAACAGAACGTGGGAGTCAAATAAGCGTGGTAGGTACACCTCGCTGTGGGTGAAACATCTTGTTGAAGTGAAGTTGGAGAGGACGAAGTAGAAGCCTGGAGTATGGGACAATGGCAACAGAGGCGGCCATATGTCCCAAGAGTCTTTGAATAGAGAGAGCAGGAACGGTGCCTTGTCTTTGGATTCGATGAATCAAAGAGGAGAGGTTGTGTTGTCAGTCCCGAGGTAGGAATGCCCTTGCTAGCTTGGAATCCAGTTGGGCCCCAATCAAGTTGATCACCTGCGCAGGAACAAGAGAGGATTTCTCGTGGTTAATAAAGTCCCAGGTCATTCAGTAGGGCACAAGTCATTTGGATAAACGACAAAAGACCTTCCCTAGTCTGGGAAACTAACAACCAGTCATCCAAATAAGGGTACACCTGGACACCTTGAATCCAAAGATGTGCGCAGACCGGGGCCAAACATTTCATAAAGACCCTTGGAGCAGTAGCCAGGCCAAAGGGAAGTACGTTGAATTCAAATATGTCCGAGGCAACAGTAAAACAGAGGAGAGGCCTGTGGCAAGGATGGATGGAAATGTGAAAGTAGGCATCCCTCAAGTCCAGTGAGGCGAACCAATCCTCTTTCCTCAGTAGCAGCAGGATATTTTGAAGGGTGGTCATTCTAAATTTCTTCGGTTTAATAAACTTATTAATTTCTCGTAGATCCAATATTGGGCAAATACCACCATCCCGCTTAGGGACTGTAAAATATCTCGAATAGAATCCGTGAAGCCCCTCAAGAGTGAGATTGCTGACGGATCGCTCCTTTATGAAGAAGCTGGTGAACTTCATCCAGTAATACCGGCGAGCATGGTGTAAACCGAATCGGGCTCGATGGAGGAACGATATCGAATTCTACCCAGTATCAGTACTGTATGATGAATAACACCCACCGATCAGATGTGATGGACTCCCAAATGGGGAGTTGGCTTTGCAGCCAGTCCCCAAATGAGAGGGGAAAGGTGGGAGTTGGAGGAGAGGAATGGTTCACCAAACATGTCAACGTTGACGTTTATCAACATCAAACAGGCGATGGCCTTGCTGGAAGCGCTGCTGGGGCTGTTGTTTACAGCACTGTTGCCGTTGGTGATACTGCTGCCTGGGCTGGTACTGCTGTCGGTACAATGGGCGGGACCATGACCACTTACGTCGTTGTTGTGGCTGGACTTCCATACGACAAGCTGTCTTCCTCGATTCATGTATGGACTTCAGCTTGTGGTCCGTTCTTGAGTTGAACAGGTCCGACCCGTCGAAGGGCATCTCTTCAATTCTTCTTTTCCTCTCCTCCAGAAAATTGCAGCTTCTTAACCAAGCATGTCTCTGAAGGGAGATGGCACCAACCAGGGCCCTGGAGTCGAAATCAACATGATGCCTAGCAGTG